ATTAGGGATGGCTAGCGCAGATAGGTCTGGTGTAGCTTTGCGCGAAATTCAAAAACAAACAAACAAACACAACCAACATATGGTTGTTATTGTTGTCACTTGTACACTGAGTTTGAACCATTTGCAAAATAATCAGAATAAACTATATATATATATATATCAGTTAGACTGTTTTAATTCTAATGCAATAACAACAGAAATGTGGGTCTTACTACAAAGCAAAGATTGTAAGAAGGAAAAATATTAAATTCTTATGTGGTGCTGGTACTAGTAGTATTACGTACAAATCACACAAGTTTGTCATTCTAAATACTGAATCATATTATTATTATTATGAACTAAATATAAAATTGGGCTAAATTATTGAACTTAAAACTACAAATTGAAATTCAAAAGAATATAAAAAATCACAAACTCTTTCAGTTTGAAGTCCTAAGTCTAATTCATGTAAAGACTTTGCACTCGCCACTCAATAGCTCTTAACCTTAACAATCGTGGATCAACTTCTTTCCTAAAAAATATATCTATTTTGAGTTAATTTTTCAATATAATGATTAATATAAACAGATATACAATGCAACATGACTTAAGCTATTATATAAAAATAATAAAAGTCACATACATCCCATGCAGTTTTTTCCAGAAGCAACTTTTCTAACGCTTATAGAAAAGCACTATTGGCCAGTACTAAATACAACCTCTAGATAAAATGGCAATTACTATAATAAGCACCACCCACATTTATATTGTAAAATCCAGAAAACAACGTTTCATCACGTGCTTTCCTTATCATCCTATGATTTGTCAAATGTAAGAAAAAGCAATTGGAAAAATTGGTACTGAAATTGACACCTTCGACTAGGATTGGCTAAAAGTTTTACAACTGAGGTTTAACACGCCCAGTTATTGTTGAGAGGGACTTGAAGTCTATCCCCGACTTGGTGATTCTTGCTGGTTTCTCCAGCCAAGGAGTTTCAGCAGTTTGAAGGATCTCCACTAGTCAAGATGGAATTATGGTGCCGACCTCAGTTTTGATTTTGACATTTTCATCACCACGTCCACCTGCTGCCGTTAAGAC